GCATTGTTTATATCTATGAAGTTACAAATTACGGGAGCAGTGGGCGCCGACACCCAAGGGTTTTTCTTGTTTGGATCGGGTCCGAGTCGAGGCAATACACCTGCCCGTATTTTCGGATTCGACGAAGAGGACACGATCGTGTTGACTTCCCTTCCTCCGCCCTTGTCGGGAATCACCATCACAAATGGACCAACATCTTACCATTTGGGTTTCTTGCATCCGTTTCGATACGTAGATGTGTTCATCCGTGAATCGGAAGCCAGTTTCCTTCGCGATGTTCCGACAGCCCGGGTTTTCGTCGGCGACGAGGGATACATTTTTACCCGCGAGACGACTTCTCGTCCGAGACTGTATACTAACCCATTACATTATGCCGACGCACTGCACATTAAGTTGCGGCTGGAAGGCGATAGAGTTCCACCGGAATTATCTACCGTCGGATGGGACCTCGGCCTCGATATCCTACAACTCTCAAACGAACCCAAGATTCCTAGCTGGGTCGATCAGAAACTCATCTACCCTTAAACATACATAAACATAAGGCAAACCGACTGTAATTGCTTTCCTCTGTAATTCAGGTTGTTGCCGATTGTTTTGGTCATTCAGTCGCAAACAAAAAGGCAAAACAGAAAGAACAAAACAATTAAAGCAAACACCAAATAGATTCGAGAATAAATAGGACAAACAAATTAAGAAATTAAGAAATTGTGATGGCAACCAAAAGTGTAACCATTGAAGGTCTTAAACCCCCTTTGTTTGACTTCCTTCCAGTTCCAATAAATATGAATCCAGGTTTGCCGCTTGGGAGTTCCCCTGTGGCTCCTTTGACTGGTCTACCTTCGCTTGTACCAAACTTAGGTACAACTGCATTTTCTAGTCAAAAGAAAGTGGTCCCTGGTAAACAGCAATCAGCCCCACCCAAAGATACAGATACAGATGCAATGACATTACAAGGAGTCCTGAAGCGTTCTACTGAGGGACTCGACGACAGTTGCGCACTGAAGGTTCATCAACACGCCAATAAGTACTTGGAAAAGAGGTTGACCCAATTAGCGAAAGATTTGAGTCTGGCGGAGACGGTTGTCTCTACACAAGACAAACAAATGCAAAAACAGACAACATTTATTAGTACTTTAAAGCAGTGTATTTCCGCATTGGAAAAGAAAGTTGAGTGTTTGGAAGCCACTTCGAAGAAGAACATGGTCGAACTAGCGATTGCTTCTGAAAAACTACGCGTCCACGAAATCACTGCAAAGAGTGCGTCCGCGCCCAATATTCCTGAAGTTCGGGAGACAGAGTGTATTGATGACGAAATCAAATTGTTTTCGAGGAAGATCAAGACAATCAACACCCAGACTGCGGCCAACACAAGAAAAAGGCGAGCACGTGTTAGTACTACTACTACGAGGTACAACCCCGAGTTAGAAAATTTGCGTCCTCAAATGGGACCTCAACAGAAAAAAAGAAAAACAGTTTCCTGTGAAAAAGGCATAATGTTCCATGACCTGCGTTCGTCGATAAAAACTTGGATTTCATCTCTGAGTCTGACAGAGAAAACGAAGCTCTATTACAGGAACAATATAGAACATATCCTCGCCGATTTTAACTGTTGGACAACAAAGGAGGTGCTGGCTTTAAAAACTGAGCACATTCGTAAATGTTACGCCCTGAAGAATCCTCATCTGTACATTGCACCATTCAACAGTTTCTGCAAGTACATTTCGAATAATGACAAACAAACTAAATAAAATGAAGTCATTTCTTTTTTGTTAAAGGGTTAGGCGCTGTTGAACCCATAGTGGGACCTTGGGCACCTGAGCTATTGATAAGGCTTCAATGGTGAGGTCGGTTCCGACGTTCGCTAACTGTGTCAATTTCCTGCCCCCACGTGTGCGAATTTCGAAGTGAAGGTTTCGCATGTTCCTGATCGGTGCCTTCAGGATCCGTGCCCTGTGTGGTGTGGTAGCCGGCTGGAAGTAATTGTTCGTCTGTTCATCCAACGTGTATATCCTGGCCCATGGTCTGAACTCACTGGCTTCTCGCAGGTGAACATCAACGTATGTAAACGGTCGGACATTAGCAGTGAAGGGGGATCGATTGGCTCGTTGGGGGTCCGTGAGGTCAGCGTACTGGTCCAAATTAGGTTTGAAGCCTATGGGGATAGACATTTGGTTGTCACGGTTAGGCCCTGTCTTGAATAAGAAATTGATCGTGCCGTAAGTCGTTGGAATCACGTTTTGATTCGGTAGGATCCACTTGACGAGAAAGTTCTCATCAATGCTAGCTTCGGGCAAGTACGCCCCACCACCAAAAATTGGGTCTCCCACTGCGGCCGCCGCGTACCTGAACAGGACATCGAAGATGAACGCAATCCATAGGGCTGGAACACTCAACGGCAAGCCACCCCACGGAAACACAGAAAGAAAAAAAATGCCTGGGTCGAGTGTTGAGAAGAACCTGAGTTCATTTGTGAGCGTGTCGTCGAGGAACAGGAAATCGACCATCATGTTACTGTTCTGGGGGATCCTGATGACTAAGCCGGTACGAAATACATCGAATTGGTCGAGTTGTCCCAGTAATGTCGGAGTGACCGCCCTGTTCATGTGATACTGCACCAGTTCGAGACTGAAGACCTGTTGCAGTCCTTCTTGGAGGTCATAGGTGAACGTGAAATTATCTTCACTCTCGTTGGGGTCCCGTTCGTCGCTATTGACAAAAATAAGCGTACGTTTGATGTAATGCGGACCAGGAACTTCGATGAAAGACATTTATTCCTTTTCCCTTTCTTTTTCCTTTGCACTCGCCTTGTATGTCTAACAATTGCTTCTCGATAAAATTATACTTTATTGGCTTTTCTCATCCGTTTTGTTCCCGATAAGTCCCGGACCCGATAATCGTCGTCGGAAAACGAAAATTCATTTAATGGCCATTAAGATCCCTCATTTATAAATGTCTGAATAAGAACCGTAAGGGAGATTTGAGGGATGAGATAGCATCCTCTCATATATAAGAGGGCTGCGGAATCGGGGCCGATAATTCCCGACGATAACCGAAACCCGACGATCAGTCTAAACTGAGGAACTGGTTCACCCATTCAGGTACCTTTGTTTCTGGGGAGACGAGTAAGAGGTCCAGCGTCAGGTCCCATGAGTAATACGATATGATATTAGGGATCCTGCCGTCAGGTAGCCTGATCCTGGTCGTAAGCGTTTCGATCCTGCGTGGTGGGTCTGTCAGCAGCCGTACTTTTTCGACGCACCAATCGTTGTACTTGTAATCATGGGAATGTGTTGTCCATAGGCGGGAATGGGGGGTTAGCTCAGGGATTTCGTCGAAGCTTATATCTACGTATCGGTCTGGGTTAAATTCGATGTACCTATCTGGAATTGCACCGGTATACAATGTCCCATTGATGGTCTGTGGTGAAACAGAATCGACGCCTTCGGTAAACCCTAATTGGGACCATGCCGATTCCGCGACGTTTGCACCTGTCCCAAACAGGAACTCCACTGTTGCCGTGTTAGGTGCACCCCCGAGTTCGAGCATGTAGTGGATGTTCCCGTACCGTCCACTGGGAAACGGTTGGCCTTCTGCTACCCTCCAATTCCAGCCATTGAAAGTATTGAATGTCGGGTCGCCCAAGTCATCCATGTGAATATCCAGTTGGGTTGCGAGGGTGTTCACGTACCTGCTGATATTAGCCATTGCCGGCGTAGCCACTGGGTCAGCTAGGAATCCAGCAGGGGAATCGACGTACTCACGTGTTGCTGGGATACGCCAACTGAATGTCAGTGTGTTCGTTGGGACTGGATAAGTCGTTACCCTTACATCGACGTAATTGTTACCCGGGTTTGTCCCCCTTGAGGAAGTATACGCCATTGGTGTATAGTTACGAGGAAGCAGGAAATCCGTTATCTCGAGTGATTGTACTTTATGGGGGTTGAAATCCACTGAGATCGGAATGTCGAAAATGGAAGCTTCATCGTTGATTGTGTCCAAGTACGGGTCCAGGAACAATCGGCGACGGAAAAGAAATTGGGGTGTTGTAACCGTAACAAGAGGCATCTCCCCCTTTTCGCGCTAATCCGTCGTAGTGTGTAATCTATCAAGCATACGCAGATAATTACAATGACAAGTTTTCATGTTCTTCTTTCAGGTAATGTTTTTATCTTTAGAGTACAAGTACAAGCACAGAAGAAAAAAAATAAGAGCGTGTGTACAATAGAAAGAACTAGATAGAATGGTTGACATTCGAACTGATATTACAGAGACACGCGTTTACAGGCTGGGTCTTCTTCTGGCAGCCGGGTTCGTAGTTTATATGCTGTATACTGGATGGAACCGAACGGAGAGCATGCATGGGTTCAATATCAAACGTACTAACTTGTATTCTGGTTTAGCAGGACATCAAGTTGCACAGGTCAATGAACAGATGAAAGCCCTGGACACAAAAGATGGAACCGCCCGGCCTGTAACTAGAGTAAATTCACCGAATGCAATAGCGAAAAACGTTGTTCCTTCCGTCGGAAACATTCTAAACCGAAGAAAGGGATGGAATGACACACCTACCGTTGGAATGCTCAATGGGGTCAAAGGGACAAAGGCCCCTGCAGACATCGAAGGGAACAGTAGTGCTACACCGGTACCAGGTGGTCTACCCGTTACGGACTCTAACTACTGTGCTGTTCCGACTGGGTTCCTTGGCCGCATTGTGAAAGCATGGGAACGCGGCGACCGCAACGGCATTGTTAATGTCGATGGGGTACTTACCGATATGGGACACCCTGGTGGAAACCAGTTCTATGATACAACTGGAAACGGTTGCTGCGACACGTTTTGCCGAAGAGTTGTCAAAGGCGGTTACTGGTCCTGTGTTACCCCGCAGACCGTGACCACGCAATACACTGCTATGAACCCGACCGGATCCCCATGCTCTCATTATGGACGTAACAGCACCAGTAAACTATCACCAATGTACTAATAAAATGGAATTTATTCTTTTACCGTAGATGCGCTGGCACGTTATCCAACAATATGGTATAACAGACGTCATCCATCTTATCCTGGACACACACTTTCATGCACTGGTAGTAAATGTTCTGTGCCTCCCCTTGTGGGTGACCTTCCATTTGCTGTGCACACGGAATACCACAAAGTCCAAGGCCCTTCTCTGCACACGCTTGTTCTTCTTCGGGTGTATAAGTTGGTGCCTGTGTTGTTGGCGCCTGTGTTGTTGGCGCTTGTGTTGTTGGCGCCTGTGTTGTAGGTGCCTGTGTTGTTGGCGCTTGTGTTGTAGGTGCCTGTGTTGTTGGCGCTTGTGTTGTAGGTGCTTGTGTTGTAGGTGCCTCGGTTGTTGGCGCTTGTGTTGTAGGTGCCTGTGTCGTAGGAGCTTCGGTCGTAGGTGCCTGTGTTGTATCCTCGATTGGAGGAAACGTATCCCTGGGTGGTTGAGTTGTATCCACTGGGGGTTCTGTTTCAGTATCAGGAGGAATGGTTGTGTCATCTGTTTCATCGGGAGCAGAGGTAGACTCCTGAGGAATGTATGTCCCATCGGGTGCTACCGTTGTATTGTCGTTTGGGTCCCCTTCACCCGCCAGAGGTCCACTTTTGTTACCAGATTCGGGGGTGGTAGTATTGCGTCCAGCAATGAAGTACCATCCGAGTACCCCAATTATAACACACAGGACAACGAACCCAATGATATATTTGGTCGTACTACTACCACTTCCATTGCTCGTTGTTGCTTCTATAACTGTCAGCGCATTTGCTTTTGTTTTCTTTTTTGCCATGATTTATGGTTTCGTTTCGATTCGTTTCGATCCGCGTTTCGGTATCGTAATACACACATTAATTGTGACAGAAAAAAAACGGTGTCCTTCGAAGTGAGGAAGACAAAGAATCATGGTTGAACGTGACAACTATTTCAATGTCCTCGAACCATTGCGACGTGTAGTCACCGGGTGCGAGCCTTATCCCGAACCAGTCACAGCTCTAGTATCTGCGGTGACGTCGGAAATGTTCTCACAGGCTAACCGCGAGACATGGAAATACATCTGGCGACGATACTGCCATGAACGATACGAAACTTTCAGGGATATTTCCATTGATTTTGTCACCACAGGCCAAGAGCGACTTGGGTGGAAACGACAACGAAGTAACGCGCATGCTGTCCCCATCGAAACTGGTTGGGTGAAACTTGATCACAGGAAATAAAAGAAAATCTGCTATTTACGGTTCTTTTCGAGTTCAACAATTGTTTTCGTCATCTCTAGGTTAAGGTCATACATTTCTGACAACAGACTCATTTCAAGTCTATGATTCACCCTTTGGACAATTAGAGCATTAGCAAAAATGACAATGCTAAAAGGAATGCCTTCTAATACACCTAGTATTAATGGTTTTGCATATTTGCCGTAATTCATTATAACGAGAGAAAGCAACAAAAAACAATTATACTTTGGTCTGTGTTTGTTGTCCGAATTCAGTTTGATCTGGATTTGATGGTTGCCCTTCTTGCTGTTGCAATTCGGTACCACCCAAACGAATGACTTCGCTCATTTGGTTCGCGCCTGAGATATTGTCAGCCTCTTCCTTCAATTTTCCAAAATGTTTCGAAATATTGGTCCCAGTGAAAACAGCAGCGTACCTGAACCCGCCTAGGATACAGAAGAAGGTACCAATGAGGACATACGACTTCATTCCTGTTACCATCCCAGCAATTGTAAACCCGATGAGAACCACAAACGTGATAAATTCTACAACTGCGGCACCATGATGGATCGTTTGGTTCCCGAAGCCACCTCGTAACTCAATAAGTGTGGACAGAACATAAATGGCTAAGTTGATATAGAACAATGAGGATGCCACACGCATTGGTGAACTATGACCACTCACTTCGTCGCGGACGATTACTTGCGCCTGCGGTTTTTCATTTGTTACAAGTTTCTTTCCTTCTTGGATGACTACTACACCTGCAATAGCAGCAATACTGATTGCAATAATGGAACCGATGAGAGCCATGTGTTTATGTTTGGTTGATCTGACGGGATTAGGGACCGAGTGAGGATCCACTGATACTGTTGTCGTTTGTACCAGTGGCTGGGTAACCTCCCGTACCCCTGTGACCACGGGTGGAGGCGCCGTCATGGCTACGGGTTGAAGACTCATGCTTTTTTGTGTGTCCTTCTACTTTTTGTTTTGTCATAAAAATTAAGGAAACCCCTTATTTTCTTCTTGTTCTACTTAGACACGAACCAGTTGCAAACGAACAAAAAACAAATACAAAAGTACAGTACCGTTTTATGTCATTTCCAGGATCACTACAACGTCGGGCAATGCGTGAAGGCATGGCTCCACCAATTAAGCGTGCAGGCGGCAGGCAACCCAAGAAGGACGCTTATGGTGTGAAAGAAGTAGAACCTCCTTCGCGTTCCCAAGTTCTTCGCGATCGCCAGACTAGACGGTCACAGGCGGGTAGGCGAACGTTGCGTGACAGGGTAGCCGACGAACAGCGTAATCGTGCTTCTACTGTCAGCAATAACACTGGTCGTGGTCGTCAACGTTCCGATGGGCAGTACAGACGCCTTCCTCGTGAAACTCCACTTGATTACGATTCGAGGCAAGCGCGTAACCAGCGCGCACTCCAAGCCTCACGATCTAGGAACATTGCCAGGTACATGCAAGAAGGCGGTGCATTGCCAAGGGAAGAAGAACAAGAAACAGAAGACTACTACTCCGACGAACAAGAGCAAATAGAAGCTGACGACGATGAGGTACTCGATGAACCTAAACCGGTATCACCCCCACCAGCACGTAGAGCATCAAGACGCCAGGCACGCACTGTTCCAGCGCCACCAATTGCCGTCGTCTCCACGCCTCCGCCTCCTCCACCTGTAGTCCCAAGCGGACTGAAACGTGCATTTGTAGTTACACCAACGTTCCAGTCGCCTCTTACTGCTCACATTGAGATGTCAGTGCTGGACCAGTATGCTTCAGTTTGTGCGAAGGATTCTCAATTTACACACAACGAAAGCCCAATTCTCTCGAGGCGATTCAATGTAGTCACCGAAGGCGATAATACTATCGACCGAAGTCTCTTGGATCCTTGGATGTCTGTCTGTGACGTCGTTGTCCTTTATACTGATCTAGGCGTAACCCCTTACTTGTCGGAAGTTATTCAGTGGGCCAGTGCGACCAAGAAGCAGATCGACTTTCGTTTGCTTGGCCAGAAGTGGGTAGACGCCCGTGGAAATACTGAGGATGTTCCAGTCGCTACAGCGGAACCTGTACCAGTAGCGGAACCAGCTGAACCCACTGTTGTAGCACCACCAGTCTCTACTTCTCCTCCAACCCGACGTACCCGGCGAGCTGCCACTGTGACAACATCTGCTACAGCAGCTACAAGTACACGACGCCGTACTACTCGAAACACAGGAACTAAAAAGAAAACCACAAAAGTCGAAGCGAAAACAGCCGATGCGGTGGTAGAAGCAGAAACAGCACAAATGGAAACAGTCGCAACGGAAAGTGACGAGCAAGTTCCAGCACTTGCAACTGACGAGGTACAACCGAAAGTGGTAGATAACTAACTGGAATTCAGTTCATTTTCATTTTTATTTTATCATGGCACGCACCCTTACACTCGTTTGCAAATACTCGTTTGTAATTGTTATTCGGCTCTTACTAACCCCCCAAATAAAGAACGGACTGACATGTCATTATTTCATGTCATTCTTAATTCCACTAAGGCAAACCCAGAACCTTCAAAAGGAAAGCATAAGAGCAAAATGGAAACCTAAGTCAAAAGTGAAAAAGGATTGGTACTGAAGAGTTGAAAGTGCAAAAGTCTGAAACAACACATAATGAGTCGGTGTGGGCGTCAAAACAAAATAATAGCAAATGCAACCTTTAAGGAAATGCAAGAGAGGTTCGCAGTAGAACTGGCTGGTTGGTCTTTCAAGTTCAACAAGAACAAGTCAAGGGCTGGCGTTTGCAAGTACCGTACCAAGACGATCGAAATGTCCCATTTATTTTTACAAGCGCCCAATACAGACGAGGCCAAAACTAGGAACATCGTTCTCCACGAAGTAGCACATGCACTCACTCCGTTAGACAAAGGGCATGGACCGCATTGGCAGGCAACGGCAAGGTCCATTGGGTGCGATGGCAAACGATGTTGTGAGCCTTTTATGCAGCCACACCATTACAACTACGTCATCAAATGCGAAAAGGGGTGCTCGTTCAAGCGAGTCCGTGTGGTGCGCTCGACCTTCAAACACAGTGTGTGTCGCGTACACCGTGAGAAGTTAGTGGTACACAAGTATAAGATTCCCTCGCCCCCTCCTGAAATCTAGTATTATTTTACCTATTTTTACTTTTATAACATTACACACGAGCCTCTTACACAAGAACGTGGTTTCTCTTTCTTCATCGGTTGTAACGCTACTTTGAGTGGTGGTAGTATGGACGCCTTGATGTTCATGCCTGTTTCGGTGAAGTTGGGCGGCAGATGTGTCGTGGTATCTCTAATTGCCTGTGCATCTGGCCGAAGACAAAAATCACATTCGCAAGGAAGCATCATTATTTTCTAGGTACAAAGAGAAAAAATATATCACTTGTTTGCTTTTGTCGTCCACATTTCGTCGGGAATTATCGGGCCCGATTCCGCAGCCCTCTTATATATGAGAGGATGCTATCTCATCCCTCAGATCTCCCTTACGGTTCTTATTCAGACATTTATAAATGAGGGATCTTAATGGCCATTAAATTAATTTCCGTTTTCCCGACGACGACGACGATCATCGGGTCCGATAACTAACTGATTCTAAATTCTGTTTACTAATTTTTATATTGTTGTGTTAGCAGTGCATGTAATATACTCTTCCGTAACTGACCATGCCTTTGAAGGAAGTAAGTACCCCGCATTACGTAAAACGTACTCGGGTATTTGTAAATTCCGATGAGAAAAACCCGTCGAATTCACGCGGACCATTCGATTATTCATTTGATGTAGCAGAGCCAATCCAGAACGTCGTTTCCATTGAACTGACCGGCTGGAACATCGATGGTGAAGTGTACAGTACATTCGTAGGCAGGTACAACTCTGTTGCCCCTCTCGCTAATCCCAATGACCAGACGAGGAGTATCATACCGGGGGCTTCCACCATTGACGTAGAACTGGAAGACGAGACAGGCACAGTGTTCTTAGTGGTCAACATGAATGTCGAAATGGGTCTCGGCGAAATATCCAGTACTGGAATAGTCCTAGAGGATGCTACTGCATTGCTCAATGTTCTTAATGCAACATTTATCACCCAATTAGGTAGAGTGGGTAACGCGACATTCAGCAACGCTAACACTGTCGGCCAATTCCTCGAAGACACTGCGGGCCGTATCTATTTTGTCGCGTATAGGGTTGGAATCCTGGTTCCCCTGAGAAGTAGATTCCTGTTCCGAACCGGTCCCGGTGCCTCTGACCAGGCTTCTAGACCACTTGGATTTCCACCAGTAGATACACCCCGTGTCACTGCTCTGACTGCGACACCTGGTGTAGGCTCAGGTCTTAACTACGTCGTTGTGGGCTCGCATTACTACAATCTACAACCTTGGCGTTATATTAATGTCTATGTAGACGAAATGAGCAACAATTTCGAACCAGTAGCACGCATTTTTTACCATCGTGAAACCGGTCTGGCCAATTCGAATCCTGCCAACAGGCGCCCGTTCAATATCGATAATCGCTCGCGGCTCTTACAAGAACCATTGAGGCGTCTGGATCGGCTATCAATCC